TTAGAGAAAAGGAAAAAGTGCAGAAAATGAAAGAAAGAGAAAGAAAGAAAAGGAAAGAAAGGAAGGAAGGAAGGAAGGAAGGAAAAGATAATCAAAGAAGCAACTTCTGGCCTTTACAGCAATTACAAACTCATTTATTATCCTTTCGTTTTCCTTAACATTATACTAATCCCTTCAATCCCTTTTTCAATCATTGAATGCAGAAATTATCATTTCACTTTTCAGCAAAAAGTCCATGAAGGGTTTCCAATGTTTTGCAAGCACTTTCTGTTTTATCCCGACTGACCAGCTCACTTTTGCCAATTAGCCCTCTTCCTCTTCCTCTTCGCAGACTTTTCCTCCGCTGTGGGCGTTCCCATATTTCTCCATCTTTGTGCATGTCTTGGCTGCAGTTACCATGCATAAAGTCAGCCTTCCATAAGTCTTTTCTTATTGGCTGTCCATAAATCTCAATAAGAAAAAAAAGGTCTGTTAATCTTCAAAATTCTTTGCATCTTCATATTTGTTTCCTCCTCTTTTTTCTTTTCTTTTTCACAAGTCTTCCCTGCATGGTAGGTAGAATAATATCCTTTCGTGTCTTCCAGATTTCCAAGTACCTTTATGCATCTTAGATAATTTCTCTAGGGTCATAAACCAACAATACATCATTTTATAAAAATCCTCGCTTAAATCATAACCCTGTGTGAATTTCAGTCCTCTTCTCCACTTTCCCTCCCATTGGTCCATCGGTATCTCGTAACAAAAAAAGTTCTTTGCCTGTTTTACCATGCAATCTTTAATTTGTTCCTCTTCCGTTTCATATCTCAAGAAACGGATCTCCATGGCACCTGAAGGCAGGAGAAGAAGCAAAGGGTGGAAACTTATCAGAGAGAGGCCCCAAGCAAGAACTAAGGAGGAATTTCCTGACCATGAGAATGACCTGACCGTCAGCCGGTGGAACGGCGTCCTTCCAGAAGTTGTGGCTCCTCCATCGCTGGAGGATTTTAAGAAGAGACTGGACAGCCCCTTGTCTGAAATGGCCTAGGGTCTCCTGCCCGAGCAGGGGGTTGGACTGGAAGACCTTCAGGGTCCCTTCTGACTCTGTTATTCTGTTAGTGCTAGGATTCATGATTTTACAGGAACAGCATTTCTGAAAAAATGATGGTGGTGGTTTTTTTAAAGAAAAGAGCAATTATTGTACAGTAGGAAAAACAAATTTAAAAGGGCCGCAAGATGAGTAGGAGTTCCTAAAATAAGATGACATTGAAAAAACAGTTCCAGTGGGGGGGAAATTGTAGGCAGAAAAAATAGCTAATAAGGCTTCACAAAAAAGTTTGGAAAAGAGAAAAAAAGACACCCAGGAGATGGAAACGGGCAGGTCGCGGCTCTGAAGGGTAGAAAGCTAAAGCTCAGAATATGCTGAGTTTGGTGAAAAATCATAAGAATAAAAAAAAAAAAGGAAACCTTGGAAGAACTGAGGAAGAGCCAGAAAAACGTTCTTGTCCTTAAGAAGAGGGGAAAGGGGAATCTCCAGGACAACCAATTTGATTTCAACCCCAAAGAAAATTTCTAGAACTGGTAATAAAGAGATCGAATTGGAACCACCTTGAGAAATTAATTAATCTGAAGCCAGCATGGATTTGGGAAGAACAGGTGTTGCTAGACTAATTTAGACTATTTTTATAATCAGGTAGCTTCCTTTTTAGATTGAACGTATGTTGTGGATGTAATTCCTCTTGATTGCGTGGAAGCACCTGATAAAGTACCTCAAGATGTTCTGATTAAGAGCTGAGGAAGCCCAGGACGGTTAAAGTTAAGAGATCATAGCAGAGCTGGCTGGGAAATAATAATTATCAACATCCAGTGCTTCTCTGCAACCTTTCATCAGACTGAAGTGAAGTGTCACATGGGGTGCCACAGGGTTCAGTCCAGAGGCCTCTTTTTTTTCAATATTTTTATCAATGATTGGGATGGGCATAGGGAATGCTTACCAGCCCCACAGATGGCACAGATTTGAGTGGGTTAGCCTATCCCCTGCAACCAAAATAGAACAGAACAGAATAACAGAGCTGGAAGGGACCTCAGAGGTCTTCTAGTCCAACCTCCTTCTCTGGCAGGAGGCCCTACATCCGTGATGGCGAACCTATGGCACGCGGAGCCATATCTGTGGGCACGCGAGCATTGCCCTAGCTCACCTCCAGTGCGCATGTGTGCGCCAGCCAGCTGATTTTCAGGCCTTTCGGGCCCACCGGAAGTCAGGAAATTGGCCGTTTCTTGCCTCCGGATGGTCTCCAGGGGGGTGGGGAAAGCCGTTTGCGCCCTTCCCAGGCTCCTAGAAAGCCTCTGGAGCCTGGGGAGAGCAAAAAACGGGCCTTCTGGTCCCACCAGATGTCAGGAAACGGGCCATTTCTGGCCTCCGGAGAGCCTCGGGGGGGGAAAACTGTTTTTGCCCTCCCCAGGCTCCTAGAAAGCCCCTGGAGCCGAGGGAGGGCAAAAAACAGGCCTACCGGGCCCACAGTGCCATCGCGTGCCAAAAGCGGGGGGGGAGCGCGGGTGGTGGTGGCGGCATGTGCATGCACATTGAATTATGGGTGTGGGCACATGCACGCACGACACCCCCACCCCCCGCTTTTGGCACGCGACAGCAAAAGGTTAGCCATTACTGCCCTGCACCATTTCAGACAAACGGTTATCCAATCTCTTCTTAGAAACTTCCAGTGATGGAGCACTCACAACTTGTGAAGGCAAGCTATTCCACTGGCTAGTTGTTCTAACTGTCAGGAAATTTCTCCTTAGTTCTAGGTTGCTTCTCTCCTGGATTAGTTTCTATCCTTTTTTTCTTCTTCTCCTGCCTTCTGGTGCTTTGGAGAATAGCTTGACTCCCTCTTCTTTGTGGCAACCCCTGAGATATTGGAAGACTGTTATCCTGTCTCCCCTGTCCTTGTTGTCATCAAACCAAATGTACCCAATTCCTGCAACTGTTCTTCCTATGTTTTAGCCTCCAGTCCCCCAATCCTCTTCGTTGCTCTTCTCTGCACTCTTTCCACAGTCTGAGCTTTTAGATGAGTCTCTAAATGATCTTGAGTGAATAGAGAAATGAACTGAAAAAGGTAACATGAAATCTTAACGGAAATGCGCAAAGCATTTCACTTGGGGAAAAGAAATGTATAGATAAAGAGAGGGGAATACCAAGGTTGTTGATGGGAGATGGGAGAAAATGTATTAGGAATTGATTGCAGATTGAACCGCGAGCCAGCAATATGAGACTGGCACAAAGTGCTAGCTGCAATTCTTGGTTAAAGCAAGACCCAATTTCATGGACTTCAGCCCCCAGAATTCCCTAGCCAGCATAGCTAAGAAGCATAGCCTACTGGGGAATTCCGGGAGTTGAAGTGCAGGGTCTTAAAAGTTGCCAAGGTTGGACACATCCTGCTCCAGAGGAAATGCCTAACAGGAAATAAAATAATGTTTGAAATGCCTTGAAGGATATCATAGGAAGGGATAGACGAGAACTTTTCTCGCAACAACCCTGACTGGGGACGTAAAATCATGCATTTAAGATGCAGGAAGCAAATTTGAGGGAACGTTGGGAAAACCACCCAAACGCAAGAACATTTTGCCAAGGGGAGGCCTGGCCTGGAAAGATGGTGGGGCCCCCTTTGCTGAGGCTAGAGGGACAGCCCTCGTCAAGAGAGATTCCCACCCTGAGCAGAGGCTGGACCAGATGGCCTTTTAGTGACCCTCTCCAAAGTGGTGGGGCCTTCTCTGGGACTGTCTCACTCTCCATCCACCTGATAAAAGAAAGGCTTCATGTGACTGTGTGTATGTGTGACCTCAATTTGGGATCCGCTCAGGGGCTCTTCATTCACGCATTTGAAGAGTTTGCATTTGGGGGGAGGGAAGCGAGGCCCGTAAAAATATTCATGCAGTAATGATATTCTTGCTGGAAGGAGCTGCCTTCATGTATAAGAAATAATTCCCTTTGTGTAAAGCTGGAGACTTCTAGGCAGTGAAATTGGCCCCTCCGGTGGGGAGCTCATTAAAAGTGCTGCCCCCCTCCGCAGTGTGGACAATCAAATTCCTTTGCGGGACCCTTTGAAGTCAGCCGCCTCCCGCCTGCCTTTGAATTCCGTATCAGGACGCCTCTCTTCCCTCAGGGAGGCCACGAAGCATGGAATTAAATCAGTCAAGGGAGGCAGAGAAAATGCTAGGAGCGCCACTTCTCTCCTCTGCGTGGAACTAACGGAGAACTTCTACCCAAACATTGTTTTAGCCTGCTTAAGGCCAAGGAGGCAGAAAGGGGGGGGGGCTGGCCCCAGCCTGCGAGATGGAGGGGAAGGGACCAAACGCTTCACGCTCCCCAAAGTCTCCCCTGAGCCAGGCAGGTGGCTCTGGGCCGCTCCCCATCCCGGACCTGAAATGATCCGGAACATATGGCCGTTCCCTGCTTGGGAAGAGGAAAGGCTGGGCTCATTTCGGGTTCTTCTCTGGCCGCCTCCTCCTCCCCCCACCCCAGAAGTGGGGCTGCCTGAGGGATCCCTGTTTGGCAACCCCCCTCCCTATGGGGCTTAAGGCACCCCCCCTTGCCCCTTCCAGGAGATCTCAGAACTGAAATGCTGGGGGTTGCAGGCAGACTTTCCCCCCTCGCCCCCCCTGCTTCCCTGGCCAGAGCTGCCCTGGGGTGGGGCCAGTGGGCCATCCTGGTGGTACAAGGGGGCTGAAGACCTCCAGAGAGGAAGGGAGCCAGGTGAAGGCCCTGCACTGCAACCTGCTTCTCCTTCCGCACATAAAGTCGGCCCAGCAGCCCCTCTGCCGTACCCCACTTTTCACTCAGAATAAAGCCACCCCCGCCTTTGCCTTCTCCAGATAATCGAGGGGTGAAATGCTTCACCGGTTGGATGTGTGTGTGTGTCTGTGTGTGTGTGTGTGCATGCGTGTGTGTGTGTGTCCCTGCCCCCCCCCCATATTGAGTTGAACCCAAGGAAGGCCCTGCCCGTGACGCAGCATCTCGTGTCTCGCAGCTTCGGAAGGCCACGAGAGCGCCGTGGACGACCGGGACAGCGACTACCGCAGCGAAACCAGCGCCAGCCTCCCCCCTGCCTACTGCACCACCTCCCAGCCCAACGCTTCGGCCCACCAGTTCCGGGGGGCTTCCCGTCTGCAGCAGCAGGGGGTCTGCGTGGAGCCCCTCCGGGGGTACGCCTCGGACGAGCAGACTGGCATGAGGTGGGTGCTCTTGGAGGCCAGGCTGCCCACCCCACCAGCAGCCCCCGGGGGCACTTCTGTCTCACGGCAGGGATTCGCTTGCCTAATACAGGGAGTCCTCGACTTACAGCAGTTCGCTTAGTGACCGTTCAAGTTCCAACGGCACTGAATAAAGTGACTTATGACCATTTTTCACACTGAACGACTGTTGCAGCATCCCCACAGTGACATAATCAAAATTCAGATGCTTGGCAACTGAATCATTTATGGCGGTCATGGTGTCCCGGAGTCACATGATCCCTGCTTGCGACCTTCTGACCAGCAAAGTCAAAGGGGAAGCCAGATTCACTTAACAACGGGATTACTAATTTGACAGCTGCAGTTATTCACTTAACAACTGTGGCACGGGAAGTCGTAAACGGGGGCAAAACTCACTTAACAAATTTCTCACCTAGCAATTTAAATTTGGGGGCCAATTGTCATAAGTCGAGGACTACCTGTATCCTGGGGCAAGTGATCTGGCAGGAGGAGGACATTTTGTTGGGCGATGAACGGACACGAAGGACATTCTTGGGGCCAAATGTTTCTTCCCCAGAGTGGTATCGGCAAACTGCGGGTGGGTATTTTTTCCTTTTGTGAGCTTCCCTCCTCCTCCTCTTGCAGAAGGGGAGCCCAGTCGTATTGCTCAGGAGCCCCATAACCCCTGGCGTTTGGGGGCTTGGAGGGTGAGGAAGAAGAGGAGACGTTCCCTTCCATATATTTTGTTAGGGCAGTTCCCGTTTCAGTAACATGCAAGCGTCCAGTTAGGGAGAATGTTGAAATAATGTTCGCGCTTAGCATATATTTACAACCAATCAGTTTGAGGAGCACAGATTTTATCTTGGGTGGGATCTGCTTTGCAGAAAATGTGGGAATTCCAGAACCTTCCTTTGCAGCCTCCATGACTTGGGCATTTCAGAAGGACTCTGGAGCCACGTTTCAGTCTCCCGACGACCCTTTGTGGACGGAGGCTGGCTTTGAGTGCCTTTAGCTCAATAATGGCTTCTTTGATTTGACTCTAGGAAGACCAGCCCTGGGCAGCCCACCTCCCAAGCTTGGTCCCCTGCCTCAAATGGAAGCAGAGCGAATCCCAAAGGTCATTTTTTCAAAAGGCAACTGGACTTTCTTGGGGGGTTTTTCCCCCTTTGAAAACGTTTCACTTCTCCTGCAAGAAGCTTCTTCAGTTCTGGTTGACTGGTGGGGAATGGAAGGATTTAGATCCGTTGCAGTCATCTGGTCTTCAGGACTCTGGAGGTTGGTCGTTCCCTCTCTTGAGAGTCTTTGAGGCCACTTGGGGCTTCATCTCTGCCCTCAGGGTCACCTGAATCAGAGTGCAAATCTGTTGAGAGAGGAATTTCATTTCATTTTCATTTCATTTATTGGATTTTGTATACCGCCCTACTCCCGAAGGACTCAGGGCGGTGAACAGCCACAGAATAAAACACATAAATACAAAATTTAAAAACAGAATAAAACCGAATTAAACAATTTGGCCAAGACAAATTTAAAACACCCAATAATTTTAAAACAAATTAAAATTTACATTTTAAAGGGGAAAGATTTAGGTCAGGCCGGCTTGATGGAATAAAAAAGTCTTGAGAGCGCGACGGAAGGTGCGCAGATCCGGGAATAGGACACCAGCCGCCTCCTGTCTACAACACGGTCCTTTCAGGGGTTCCAGGAGGGCCCCACCCCACCCCTTTGCACTCTGATCCAGGTGACCCTGAGGCCACAGATGAAGCCCCAAGTGGCCTCAATGATTCTCAGAAAGAGGGCTAAGGACCAGAGGACTGCCAGGAATAGAAGCCCTTCCATCCTCCACCATTCAGTCAGAACTGAGGAAGCTTCTTGGATAAGAAGCAGCAAAATGCTTTAAAGGAAAAAGAAAGTCCAGTTGCCTTTTGGAAAAAGCACCTGTGGGGCCACCAGGAAAATCCCCATAGACATCAAAGGGAGCGAATGCTCATTCCAAAGGGTGGAAAGTCCGAAAGGAGGAGAGAAGCTTCACTCAACAGCATCCTCTGGATGTGAACCTCACTGGGCAAGGGGGAGAGAGAGAGAGAGAGAGCGCCATTGCCACACTCTCATTCCACACCCCTCAAGGGCCCCAGTCTGGTCCCCGACTGGCTTCGGGGTGTGTTGGGTGCCTTGAGGGCCACCCTGCGCAGCTGGCCTGCCCCACAGTTAACGTTGCCATCCCGTGATGCAGCCCCCGGGCTCTCTCAACTTCCTGTGCTGCTTTCTCTGCTTCTTGTCCCCACCTCGGCCCGGCCTTCTGAAGAAGACACGGCAGCGTAGACTCGACTGGGAGTGGCCGGACCGACCTGGAATCCGGATCGCATTCCAGCCAAGTGACCAGTCGCCAGCTGTCCCTAGAAAGCCGGCACTCCTTAGAGATGTCGGATAGGTGGGTGGCGCTGCCACAGCAGCAGCAGCTTCCGTGTCGTGTGTCGTGTGCCGTGGCATGCCGGCTGCACTTGGTGGGGCGGGATGGTGGCGGGTCCTGAGCGGTCCCTGCTGCTGCATGGCCTCCTTGTTCTGTGGAAAGGCTGCCCGTGGAACAGTGCTGCCCCTGCGGGGTCCTGTCTTGGGGACAATCCAGTGGATGATCGCTAAGGGTGGGGTCCCAGGGGGTCTACGACAACTCGCCACTGGACAACTCAACTGCAGGACAAGAGTTGCACTAAACTCGGAGAAATAGTGGAATAGAATCATTAGAGGATTCCATGAAGGAGGGACAAAGCGAAATGTGAATGACAAAAATTAAAATAAGTTCTTAACTGTTTTAAGTTAAGAACTGGCGACACCCAGGGGGAGAGCCTTCTCTGTGGGGGCACCTGCCCTCTGGAATGAACTGCCCCTGGAGGTTCGCATGATCCCCGACCTACGTACCTTTCGCCGTGCCCTTAAGACTCTTTTGTTCCAACAGGCCGGGCTGGCTTTAAAAAATGTATTTTAAATTGGGTGTTTGTAACTTTTAACAAATTTATATCTTTATTTTAAATTGTTTTTAAATTTTGTGAGTATATGTTTGTTTTAATATGGCTGTACACCGCCCTGAGTCCTTCGGGAGAAGGGCAGTATAGAAGTTTAATGAGCATAAACAAACATAAACCTAAACATAAATAGTTGAATGGAATTGGTGAATTGTCTCATAGGGAGCTGGCCGTGGCGAGTTGACCCTGGCCTTTCTGATCCAAGTGGCCCGGCCCTGAATGACCCCTTCAAGTAGGGGCCTTAATTCCCGAGATGGGCCCTGCATCGATTTCCCTTTCGGCTGCTCATGATAAGGAGCGTGAGAGAACCTCGTGCACAGAGGGCTGTTCGTCTTAGGCTTAATGTAATCAATAGTCTGCTTCACTATTCAAGTATATGTTAGTGTGCATTCTAGGTACTGATTTGTGATCGTCCAACGGCCATTGCAACTGGACTGGTTTTTGTTGCTAGCCTGAGAGGCTTCTCTGCTCCTGCAAGCAGCTTCATCCGTCCAAGCAAGCCAGTCGGGCAGGGAGCGGTTGGAATGCGCCTTAAACTCCTGCCATGATCTGGGATAGCTTCTTTTTTATAGACACTTTTAACATGCCGCTGTATTTAATAAACGTTTCCAAGTAATACATCACTGCGGTTATTCTGTTAAATTATTCTGTTAATTAAATGATTCTGTCTCCTCGAGTTACGGCTGTAATGGGACCTACTCATTACAGTGGTAATTCTTGGGGGCTGAAAAGCAGGGCAGCCCCTTGACCAGCCCGATTTTGCCACCTGTTTTGCAGCAGTCATTAAGCGAGGGCTGCTGTTGTTAAGTGAACTAGTTCTCTGTCGGGGCCAAAAACCAGAAGTAACTGCTCTGTCTTGGCAAAACTGTCATAATTGTGTTCTTGTGTGTGCTTGAGGCTGCAAGTGTCTGAATGTGGCCTGGTTGCCAGGGGGCCAAAGTGGGGGTGGGGGGGAGAGACGACAATCGGAACTTCGAATCCAGTTCGTAAGCAGCCCCCAGGTAGGTCTGTCGGAACTTCCAACAATCAATAAATGACTGGTCCTAAATCAGGGACATCCCATATTTGCCTCACGTGCCTTGCTCAGTCGCTCCGCTGAGTCCTGAGGCCCCCCCTCCTGCCCCCCAGCCTGGCCGGGGATGGAATTGCCCCTAGTAACAGAGAAGGAACTCGCTGAGGGTGGCAGGGGCTGTTTTCATCCTGCCAGCCCCAGATGAAAAGGGTTGGGGGATCCTCCAGGACAATCGGCCTGCGTGGTCTGGAGACCCTCCCATTTACGGGGGCTTCCCATCTTTTCCCCAAAGGGCACCAAGGATCCAGCCCTCAAATCTTCTGCTCTTTCCTCATTTCTTTTGCAGTATTGAGAAATGATCGTAATAAAATTGGTGCTTTCTAAACATTAAACAAGGTTAGAATTGTACATCTTTTAATTATTTCATACTTGTTTATTTTTGCTCATAAAATTCATGTATTTATTCTTTGTGAAATTCCTTTTCTGTTATGTTAAAGTTCTTTTTCCATCTTTCTTGCCTTTCCTCCCCCCCCCCTCTTTTTTTCTTCCCCTTTTTCCATTACCAGTCAAGGATCTTTAATTAGCAGTGGGAAAGTCAGGATTATTCCTTTTGACCACGATCTTGACCGAGAAGAGTCTGTTGAGGACTATGACGAACTAGGCAAACAGCTGATAGAAGATTTTTTAGAAAAAAGAGCTAGGAATTGGCAGGAGGTAAAGAGGCCTCGATTCTCCAAACAGGGCAACGGTAGCCATCTGAAAAGTTCCAGGTCCTCTCATAAAGTTTGTGTGGAATTAGCACGTCCCGAGGCCCTATCGTATCCAGCGGAATACGATACTATAGACAGGAGAAGGAAAAAGAAACGGAGAGATAATACAGAGTGTGAATGGAGAAGATCTCAAATCAATGGGAGGTCGAGAATTCCCCACGAAACCGTTATTTCTGGAAGCAGCAGGAGAGTAAGAACCGAACGTAACACCAGTTACGATGATGCTGATCTTTATAGCCGCCATAGCCTCCGGGAAGTTGGGGCTCAGCAGCCTGGATGTTGGGATTTGCTTCCATACAGAAACACCCACCTGGCCCAAAGCGGCTGGTTCTCTGACAGCCCAGAGAGAAACTGCGACCCTCAGCCAGGCCGTTTTGGGGGTGAAGGTCAGCTGCACCCAGAAGAGGCAGCCAGTTGTTTCCCACCGTCCGGAGCTCTTGAGGAACTGGAAGGCAACAGCTGGCCTGAAGATCTTGGGGGCTCTCCTGCTTCAGATGAGGAAGGGAAGGGGGAAATGGCCCATGGCTGGTATGAGCCCACGCGTGGCTCTTTCAAGGAACACGTGGCCTTCTTGCCTGTTCAAGCGCCACCGGAGCAAGACCTCAGTGCGGTGGACGAGCTGCAGTGCTTGGTGGAGACGGTGTCCGAATACCTGGCCGAAAAGGAGGAAGAGATTAGCAGCTGGGAAGCCCTTCCAAAGCAGGAAAGCAGGAACCATGGCCTCCCCATCCAGGTGGCGGAGGAGACGGCCCAGGCAGAGCAGGCCAAGGCAGCCCCTGCAGAGGAGGAGGAAGAGAAGAGCGACAGCCGAGGAGAGGCCTTATCGGACATTCTGGGGGTGAAAGACACAGCCCAGTCCTTCTTCAGCTTCCTTACCGAGAAAGTGAGCTCTGGAAAGACGCTCTTCGCGTCATCCATGGAGAAGTTTGTGTCTTCAGCGACTGAGACGGCAGATGTCCCCGCAAGGGACTCATCCAGTCAGCCTCATCTGGATGTGGAAACGGAAAGCAGGCCTGATCTCCGCTTGCCTGAAGAAAGGCTGGCTTCCCTCCCTGATCAGAGCCGGGTGAAACTAGCTGGTGCTGACAGTGTGAGTCTCCCAGAAGTCTCTGACGGGGATGACAAGGCCTGTCCGGGCCCCCCAGCCCTCGATCATCCTGCAGATGATGCCGAGGGCCAGTCTGCCTTTCAGAAGACAAGTGCGGCTGTGAATTCTCTCTTGGGTATGTTCGGTTCTTTAAAATCCTTGACGGAAAAGAAGGAGCCAAAGAAAGAGACCACGAAAGAGGGAACCCCTGTAGAGGCTGAACCCTTGCCCATAAGTGGAGCTGAGGCCAGAGAGAAGCCTAGCGAAGATGGCACTAAACCCAGAAACTCCTCCCTGGAAACAAGGAAGGGGGAACCAGCAGCTGACCCCACCAGGGGTCCAGCACCCTCCGTCTCCAGCTCCTCTGCCGACATTAGCCTGAAAACGAGTTTTGAGGGCGTGGCTGTTCCCAGGAGGCCAGCGGAGTCTCCCGAAGTCCCCTGCCCCTCAGTGCAGCTGGACAAGGCAGATCGGGAAATCCCTCCGGAGCCTTTAGCAGCTCAGCCTCCTGAAGTCAAGCCGCAGGAAGGGCCAAAGGAGGGCATCCCCCAACCTTCAGAACAAAGAGAATCTCCCGTCAGTTTTTTTAGTCCTCTTAAAAAATGCTTCAGCCTCTTGCCCCTTTCCACTCCCGCTGACCCTCCAGCCAAAGAGACGTCCTTGGGTGTGGGGAAACAGTGCAAGTCCGAAGACGATGTCAGAAAAGCCAGTTCCTCCAGCAGCAAAGCTGCCTCCTTCCCATTCCCTGAGAAGCTGCAGGTTTCCTTCCTGAGCAGCTTCAGCTTATCAGACAAACCGCAGGAGAATAAGGAAAAAACAGGATTCTTCTCTACGTTCTTGAAAATTGCTTCAGCTGAAAACCCCGAGGCTCCCAAAGAGGGACATTTGGGGAGCAATTCAGAGGGTCTCCAGACTTCCTCCTCAAAGTCTCCACCAGAGAATAAAGAGGAGCTGAAGGGGAAACCGGAAACTGGCCCTTTGGGACCAGAAAGTGGCCCTCAGGAGAAGGTGGCTGCAGACACTTCAGAGAGTGCCGAGAGTGGCAGGCGTGGCCACAGTGACCCAAGCAATAATGATCTAAATGGTGTTGCAGGCAGAGAAGCAGCAGCAGCAGCAACCACGGCCACCTCCCAAGGTCACAGATCCAGCCTGGATCCGTCAGGGGAAAACTCAGAGGCGACTAGTGGAGTCGGAAGGACTAAGATTCTGGGTGATGCCCAGGAGGGTTTCCTGTCCGGACTTCCCCACTCTCCTCTGGCTGGCAGTTTATCCTCCAAGGAAGGACAAGATGCTCAAGACAGCACAGCCGGCCAGAAGGACCGTTCACCTGGCTTGCTTTCTGGATTATTTAGATTCGGTTCAGGTGAAAACCCATCTCCGGGTAAGGTGGACAAGCCAAATCTGAGCTTTCTGGGTGGTTTGGGGCAGATCTTTGAAAAGAATGTGGAGGAGACTAATTCCAAAGAGGGGGCTTCTCAAGTGGCACTCCAAACTCAAGAAGGCACCAAGGAGCAAGAGGGCGCAGGCAGCTTCCTAAGGAACCTCTTACACCAGGCGAAAGAGAAGGTAGAAGAGAGAGTGGCCCAAGCTCCCAAGATGGAGGTCGGGTTGCCTAGCACAGGCAAGGAATCCGTTGCCCTCCAGGCAGGATCTGCCTCTCTGAACCATTCCCAGAAGAAGACATACTTATCAACCAAGCCAGCCCTTTCTAGAAAAAATGCAGAACCTCATATTCATCCAGGGATTCCCCATGAAAATGTAGGTGGACTTCTCAGATGTTCCTCACGGAATGCCAACTTGCTCAACTGGTTAGGAGAACCTCCTGCTTCTGAGGAAATCAGGAGTGGCTCCCCCTTGGATAGTGACTACGACCCCAGGAGTTGTCCAGCAAAGACGGTTCAGACATCCATGCCTTTTTATTACGTCTTAAACCAGAATCCCATCTCCTGGGATGAGGTCCTGACCTGGTCAGAATCTAGCAACACGGTAATGAATTTGTGTAAAAGGGATGGGAATGCCAATCCAATGGATTGGAGATCAAGTGAGAATTTTGATCCAGCAACAACAGATTTTAATGCTGCGTCGCTTAGATCACCTGACTTTTGTCTGGGGGAAAATGAAATGTGGGCAACTCCTTATTTGAACGGAAGTCTTTCTCCACACAAGTTCAACTGCATTTTTGAAGACGGGCCAATAGATTTAAGTTATTCATCTGCTTATGGCGCTGATGTGTGGACCCTAATTGATCAGGAGCCCCTGAATGTGGAGGACCCTTGGCTGGCGCCCTGTCAGGAGTCCCTGGATTGGCTGATGCCTCTGCTGCAGGGAGTGTGGTGGCCGTCAGAAGACGGTGATTACGGTTACTACGTATACACTGACGGCCAGTATGTTTATTCTCTACTCACTGATTCTACCGGGCAGTATATTTACATCTGCACTTCCGACATTTACCCTCATCCAGACAGCTGGGAGGACCGTGACCTCAAGGGCTCTTTGCAAAGTGTTGTGACGGACCGGGACCTGGTTTCCATTTGTGGCTTCAAAGTGCCTCTTGAAGATGAGTTATTCTGGTCGGCTGAAGAGGAAGAGTGGGATGATTATTTTGTAAACAAGCCTCTTGATTTGTCTGTAGCTTTTCAAAGAAGGGACAAGTTTATGAACGTAGAGACCTTTTCTCAAATGTTTGAGGAATCTGCTTACCACCAGAAAGAGAAGCCTTTAGACTTCTCAGGGTACAGGCTTCTGAAACCCAATAAGGTGGGCTTTAGGCCTGAGGAGAAGAGGGACGGGTCTGTAGAAGATGCGCCCTTTGACCTCCGGGCACATTTCAGGGTGGTCTCTGGCGGGGGGCTAAAGGAGGAATTCCAACCCAAGTCACTGGATGTGGCCCCTAGGACTAGCATTTCTGAAAGCCAGCAAACCAAACCTTTTGGCTTTCAGATCTTTAGAGCTGCCGCCAAATCTGATCTCCCACCAGTGTCTCTTGCCGAAGCACAGATGGCCGAAGAAGAGAAGAAGACCACAAGCAACAGGGTCTCCTCTTGGCTTTCTGCCTTGGGTGGGCTGATGGGTCAGGGCTTGGGGAAGGATGAGATGCTGGAGGATGTGGCAGAGAAGGACCAGGGCCCACAGTCAAGGTTTCCTGCAAAGGAAGCCATGTCTAGAACACCACCCAGGAAGAAGGGAGAACCTCAGCTGGAACCCCTGCCTGTTCCCACTGCACGAGAAGGGGCTGCGGTTGCTCCCTCTCCCACCCAGAACAGGGCTCCCCTGCGCAGATCCGCCTCTCAGTTCAGCCAGGGTCTCACTTCCGACACATTTGCCCAGCCAGACAGCAATGCTAAGGCAGCTCCAGGGTCTCTGGGAGAGCCTGAAAACAGTTGGCCGGTCCTGAGCCAAATAGCTACTAAGGCCAAGGAGACTCTTTCTAAGAGTGACCTCAAAACAAGTAGCCCCAGAGAAGACCCACCGGCTGCTGAAGATTCAGGATTACTCAGTTTCTTTAAAATGCAGGGAAGCAAGCCTCCATTGCAACCTTGGCCAACCTCTCAGCCCCATCAGGTGAAAAACGAAACCCAGAGCCAGGCAGAGCTCCCGGGGGCTCCGTCTTCCTTCTTTGGCTCGATCAAAGACTTCTTCACCAAGGAGCCAGCCCCCGCCCCGTCTGACACCCCCGTCCCACCACTGAGCAACGGGCAAATATCCCAGGAACTTCTTCAGGAACCTAGTAAGAAGCCTGCTTCTGAGGTGGGTGTCTCTTCAGAGCCACCTGGGGCAGGTATGGCCAAGAAGGACCTCTTCCCTAAGGAAGAGCCCCAGAAAAAGGCCGGAGAGGAAACGGCCAGTGTCAAGGAAGCGCCTCCTGCAAAGGCTGAGCAGGCAGCTAACTCACACACAAGTCCAGGGTTGGGGTGGTGCAGCCCACCCCCAGAAGAGGGAGGCCAGCTCAGGAGCCTCTCTGGGTTGCTGGGGGACTCGGCAGCAAGGAAGTCCAGTTCCCTGAGCACCAGTTGGTCCTCCTTGATGGACAATGGGCAGCAGGGAGTCTTGCCTGGTAAGGTCCAGCCAGAGAAGGCCAGGCAGCCACCCGAGGAACCTGCGTTTAGACTCCCCTTTGGCTTGTCCCAAGCTGCGCCTCCAAAGTCTCAGGAGACAACCGGCAGCTGGGATATCTTCTCTCTTTTCCCTGTCTCCAAGAAAGCCCCGGCCCCAGCCCCAGCTCCAGCCCCTGCACCCTCTCAGACGGCCAGAGGTCCGGAGACAGAAGGCTTGTTCAAGATCCCCTTCACTGCCAAGAAAGGGCTTCCAGACAGCTCCAGCTTCAGCTTCTTCAGTTGGGCCTCCTTCCGCCCTGAAGAACCATCGTTTGCTCCTGACAAAGGTCACCTTGCCAAGCCACCTCCATTGCAAGGGAAGGAGGAACCACTCCTGAGGCAATCTGTTTCTGCTGATGCTGGCATTGGGATGGCCAGGAAACCACCTGTGCAGGAGAAGGGGTCCATCTCCGGGATTAGAGATGCTGTGTTGGGCAAGCAGGAAGCTTGCAGCTTGCAGAACAGGGTGAGTGAAGCCAGTGCCCCGGTGGCCGAGAAGGCCGGAGAATGTGCCTTGGGAGAGCGGCTTACAGCCAGCCCGGCTCTCAGTGATGCAAAGGAAGAAGAGCGGCTGGTACAGCTTGGCCCTACCTGCGAAGATCCTGAAGTCCCAGAGGAGGATGGGACTTTCTCACCTCCAGAAATCCCAGACCTTCCAGAGCAGCTGCCCCAGAGCCCAACTGAGCGGGATGAGACAAGGGTGTGTTTGTCTGAGAAGAAAGCTGCTCCTTTTCCGGATGGGAATGAAGCTTTTGAAAACACCGAACACCCCAGTTCATCCTCTGATCAGACTTCTGTGGCCCAGAGGAGAGCTGCTGTCCCAGAGTCAGGCCAGGAGGTGGTGCCGGAGCACCCGCAAGGACTTGGCCTTTCTTCCCATGCTGGAGCCCAGCAGGCTCAGGGCCAGGAGCCTCTCCCCAAGGTCCCACTGGGGGAGCTGGATAGGCTGAAGATGCCTGAAGAAGCTACAAGCAACAAGTCTGTTCTAGATTCCTCAGTGGAGAAGTTTTCAAGCTTTTTCACCAAAATCAAACCCACTAAAACTTTCTCTGACTTTTTGGGCAGCCCACTCCATGCTCCAGATGCCCCCGGTGTGCAGAAGAAGAGTGCCTCCTTTTTTGGCAGCGCATTTCAGGGAGGTGGGCCTCCCTCAACATTCACAGGTGGCCTCTTTGGCTTCTCCAAAGGAGCAGCGGAACAGCCTCCTTCAATGCCCTCAAAACCTGCCCATGTGGACTCTGGCATGAAAGAAGCTACAGGCTCAGTTCCAGGGAAGGAGCCGCTTAGCACCCAAGAAAGCAAGGCAGGTAGAGAGGAGGGCTCAGAAGCAAGCAGCTCAGGGAAACAGCAAGTCGAGAGCCTGGGAGGTGTGCTGCTGGAGACCAAGGCCAGAAGCATCTTGAAGGAAGATGCTCTGTTGACCTTGGCAGGAGAAACTCTCCAAATGGACCTGGAAATGGAAGCCAACCAAAAGCCAGACATTTGCCAAGAGCCTGAGCCAAACGCTCTGGATACCTTGATCTCAGAGAAGAGCCAAGTCCCTGAAGAGGGGCAAGTGGACTTCCTAACTTCAGATGAAATGAGGGATGCCGATATGTGCGGTCAAGATCTCAACCAGGTGGTTGTGGCAGAATCCGCTGCGATGCTGGAGGAGATCAAAGCAGAGACATTGGAAGAGGTTGATATTTGTCCACCAAACGGAGGTGAGAGCCTAGGAGTGGAAGCCGGAATGGTTCTGAACGAGACCCCTGATTTGCACAATGAAGATGCGGACAGTGTCCATGACACGAAACGTGTCCCCTTTGAGGAGAAGGAGGTTTCAGCCACTAGTGAGAAGCCTCCGGACGTTGAGGCCTTGGGGAGCACCTCAGGTAACGGGCCTGCCAGTTCTCCTGCTGCAGAGGCCCTCAGCGCCTCGTCTGTATTTGAAATGTTAAGCAAGCCCCCTTGGCCCAAATTCGGCTTTGGGTCTTCAACCGGCAGCACCAAACCGATGGGCTCCTTCTTCTCACCTGCAGCTGGCAAGACCGGTGCTGAGCCAGGTCTCGGGTCCAGCTTGAGCAGCGTCTCTTCCGTTCTGTTTCGTGGAGGAAGCGATGAGAAGGTGGAGAAAAGCGGGAGCCTCCAAGAGACGGTTTTTGGGAGGAAGCTGGACTTCTCCCTGCCTTGGCAGAAAGGCCCGAAGGAAAAAGAGATGAAGAAGGAACCGGAGGCGCCACTGAAACCTTCCTCCAAGCTGGAAGCCCCGTCAGATGGTCCCTCCAATCTGGCGCTCAGTGCACCACAGCCCTCGTGCGGCCCTGAGCAGGCATCGATGGGGCATCCAGTCCCCGAGTCCAGCCTTCTATCCGTGGAGATGGACAGCTTGGGCGAGAAGTTCTTAGAGGCCAGAAGTGTTCCTGCTGAGGTTGAGCCTGGCCAAGGCCTGGAAGTTGAGGGTCAAGAGCAGGAAGATGGCCTGAGGGCTGTTCCCAGAGGCCCTCCTGCCCCGACCCTGGAAGGAGAAGAAGCAGGAGACACGGCCTCCGTTCCTGGTCAAGCAGAGCAGAAGGATGGCATCGCATGCCCAGAGGAGGGGCCCCATGTTGCTGGGCTACTGCTGGTGGAGGAGAGTAGCCCACGACCCCCTCTCCAGCACAGGCCAGTAGCAAATGCAGCCCATAAATGGAGGCGGCTGGTCCATTTATGAGGCAAGAGCCATGGTCAGCGGCCTCTGGTCCATCCCTTGCGGCTGTACGGTCCCTGATGGAGGACTCGGGTGACCTTGAGCCCCGACTTGTCCCTCTCCCTCCCTCCCTCCCTCCTTTTCCTTCGCTTTGGCCTCCCCCTTTGTGTGTCACGTCTTTGTGTGTCGGTGAGCAGCTTTGAACGTGGATTTTGTAAGCCTTCGCAGACCTGAGAGGGGGGTGGGTGGGTTCTGAGAACAGCCCACGGCTCCCACTCGCCAGGAGAGGCCCTACGAAAATCCTACCATGGGAGACAGCTCTGCTCTTCTGCAAAGGGCTGAATGGGGGAATGCAAAATACTCAACAGGTGGATTGGGAGGCGCAACGGCTGTTCTTGGGATCCCCCACCACCACCATCCCAGCTGCCATCCATGCTGCTTTTCCTCATGGCTGCCCAGTTGTATCCAATTGGGGGAGGCCAACATGGCTGAGCAGTGGCTGCGTGAGGCCTTGTTATGGGGGGACCGGGCCAGGCATCCCAGGGGTCTCTGCTCTTTCCAGAGGGGTTCAGGGGTATGAGTTGATCACTTCTGGGCCCACCCAGATCTGCCAGCGATGCTGCTGGTCTGGGCATCCAGTTTCTGCCCACAAGCAGCTTTCGGCCTCCCGTAGCTGGGTGGGCGAATCCTGTGGGTCTCCCTGCAGTGCTTGGGTCCTGTGCAGCCCCCTTGTCTGTTCTCTTCCCCTCCTCCACTTCCCTCTCTTCCCTTGCTAGCTGTAGCCGTGTCTTTTCCAGACTGCTAGGCTGGAAAAAATGGAGATTAGTAGACATTCTACTCCAAACACCATGGTGCCCAGCTTCCAACCCCACCCTACCCCCACCATTGTCCATTTTAATACCTGGGACTGGCGATTGCTTCTTCCAGTTGGGGGTGAAGGAAGCCCCGGGAATCCTCTCAGGAGCTCCTGGTCTGAGCTGGTCTGCAGGGGGGGGAGCAGAAAGGCTCAGGGGGAGGGGGAGGTAGTCTCCTGCTGAGTCAGCAATACAGCATAGGGGGAGGGGGCCTGGACTGCTTGGGTGGTGGAGATGGGAGACCCCAATTTCTGGGGCGCAGGTCAGAGGCAGCCTCTGAGGGAGACGCTCGAAGCTTCGACATTTATCTGATGTCCGGGAATTGGGAATCTCTGCAGACTCTCCACCGGATGGGGATGGAGGATCCCTCAGGAGCTGCCAGATGGGTCTGGAAGAGTGATCTTATCCTCCAGCAAGTCCCTGATTGCCCACCCCCCTTTTTTTGTAGCCAGCCCTGCTCGTCCCCCCCCCCCCTTCTCCATTCCTTGGCTGCCCACCCTTTGGGCTCACCGAGTTCTGCACACTCACCTGTTCTTTCTCTCTCCCCTTCCCCCCCCCCCAACAGTCCTGCCAGCAGTAGCAAGTTTGGTTCCTCCTGCAACATCAGTCCGGGCAGCTCTCAGCTGAGCGAGCCAGAGCAGGGCAGCCCCCCCGGCTCGGAGCACGAGGAGGAACTCCCAGAAGCAGGGTCTGTGGCTCTGACCCTGCCGGATGTCCAGGAGCCCCTGAGCGAGCCGGCCGAGTCCCAGGAAGCACTCCGGGAAGGAGAAGAAGAGGAGGCTGAGGAAGGTGGGCGCTCTCAGTTCCCAGGAGAGGGAGAGGACACCCCCAAAGCTGCTCCGGAACCACCAGGGAGGTAGGAAACTCTGTGCCATGGGTCTGGGGTGTCTTGCTCCATGGGATTAGCCTGCCTCCAATGCAGGGGGCCTGCTGTGGACCTCGTGGGCCAAGGAATTTTGGCTGGAGGGGGGTGTCCAGGAGAGGGGCCTTTTCTGCTGTGGTCCTGGCCCCACGGAACACCTGGACACCTGGTTTGGGGGGGGGGGGGGGGGGGCTTTCCCACATCCTGGGACCGGGTTGCTCTCTTCCCCGTGGGCCCCCATCTCCTTAATTCCAGTTTTTATATAGCATAGTAATATTAATTTTAGTCATTTCTATATTTATCCTTTTGCTGTTTGTAAGCCACCCAGAGTCGCCTTCTGTTGAGAGAGGCAGCTTACAAACGAGTCCCTTGGGCTTTCCTTCCCCCCTCTGAGGAGCTCCCCCTCCGTGGCTTCCCAGGATCCCATCGCCCGGCCAGGGAGGTCATCTGTCCCTCTCCAGTTAGAAGGGCAGAATCCTAGATTACCTCGGATAGTTTCTCTCCCAGGACTTCCCGCAATTGCCTACCTCGCCTGGCCAGGTTTAGGGGTGGCCCTGCCCTTGTGGGATAATCCGGGAGAATTCTGCTCCCTCCCCCGTCTGACGGCCCTTCAGAAATCCACAGTTACCTCTAGAGAAACATCCAGAAAGTGTCCTTCCTCCTCTTCATTGGGGCCCACTGCGCAAGCCCCCCCCCCCATCTCACTCCCTTAAAGTATTAGCCACCCATCTCGTATCCAACCACTCTGGGTGCTTGACAACATAAAAACATTTTTAAAAAACCATTTAAATCGTCAGTTGTAAAATAACACCGCAGATAAAATCATTAACACAGGAGGGGAAAAGGAGGGAACCGGTCGGGGGTGGGGAGGTGGGGCTAGAGTTTAATTAGCCAACCACCTCCAGTGTGAAAGGCCCCCATAGGTACCCCAAGCCACCTGGGCCCTCAGGCTCTTAGGAAGAGTCTGGAGGGCAGGAGCCCATCTCTCCTCGGGAGACAGGTGTTCCAGAGGGCAGGAGCCACGGCAGAGAAAATGGCTGTAAAACCTGTCCCATTTAAATTCTGGTTGAAGGAGCAGTGCCTTGCTCTTTTGCTCAGACCCTAAAGCCAGAGGGGTCCTGGAGGGAAGGGCTTCTCCCTCGGGGAGCCTTTTGCCCTCAGCCCACCCAGGCCGAACGTTGAGCAGGAGGGACTCTCCCAGCCATCTCATCAAACAGAGAAGTTGGCTGCCCAACAGGACCCCCAGCTGCTGTCAGGGTCTTTAAAGTTAAAACCCAACCGTTGAGTGGAGCCTGGAACCAGGGGCATCTTTGGCCCATTTTTTTAAAAAAATTTGATTTATGTGCTGCCCTTCTCCGGAGACTCAGGGCGGCTTACAAGGCGTGAAGCAATAGCCTTCATACTTTTGTATATTTATACAAAGTCAGCTTATTGCCCCCACAAACTGGGTCCTCATTTTACCCACCTTAGAAAGGATGGAAGGCTGAGTCAACCTTGAGCCTTGGCGAGATTCGAACTTACAATAATTGCAGACAGCTGGTGTTAATGCTTTTTAGTCTGCTGAGCCACCAGGCCCATTGACCAATCACTGTAATCAATATATTTCTACAGTTTATGCTGCGCCAACAGTGTAAATATGCAGCAATGGAAGTGAGAATCCCTCTAATTCCAGTTTTCTCAGTTAAAAGAAAATACTCTATTTCACGTTATTCTTTTTGTGTTCTTTGTTTCTTGCCAGCCTCCTGGATGAAAATGAGTCGCCGCTTTTTGCTCCGGCAAGAGCCCGTTGGATTCGAGCTATCACCAAAGTCCGGCTCCAGTTCCAGGAGGTAGAGCCAATTTTTTCCTCCTTCCATTTCTTTGCATGAAGAGTGGGGGGTGGGGGTGGGGTGTCTTTCTTTGAAGGGTTTCTCAGTGGTCCAAGAAACCACTCCAGGGCTCCAGAAACTGGGCAACCTTCAGCGGCTGAGGCCAAAGGGAGATGCCCAGCCTGTGTGAAGGATCGAGACCTCGGAGGGGACTCCTGCCTTTCCCACCCCTACCACAGGTAGTGGAATCTGTGTTTCGGGGCGCCCCAGGGGGTCTCAGGTATGCAGACAGAACCTGTGTGCTTTGGGGCACCAAATCAAAAGAAGTGCTGATTTTGTTTAGGCCAGGGGTGTCTGTCACTTTAAGGCTTCTGGACTTCAACTCCCTTGTGCTGGCTGGGAAATTCTGGGAGTTGAAGTCCAGAAGCCTTAAAGTGGCTGCGATTCGACATCCGTAGTTTAAACATCAATCTCTGGGATTTCTGAAAAGTTTGCTGTGGACTGTGGCCAGGTTTCCTCACGTGGTGCTTCTGTGGCACGCAGATCAACAACGGGGGTCTGTTGCTCGAAGCCCGGCACACTTCATCCGCCCCCTGAAACAAGCCGGCCACCTCTTGAGCTAGGAGCATCTTCCTAGGTTGGGAAATGCAAATCCTTTGTAAAACTGCGCGGCACAAAAAGCTTTCACAGCAAGACCTTGCGAGTTTTGTCAGTGCCGACTTTGGAAAAATTTGTGGTTTAAATAATGTACAGAGGATTACATTTAAAGGCCCAGGACCCCGAGGGGCTCACGAAAGACTTGCCCTTCCGCCTAGTTTTGGGAGAGGAATCGTTTTGCTTGAGTCGATCCCACTCGTTGTTTCGTTCTGCGTCGATCTCTTTCGTGGGGAAGCAGAGAAGCGCTTCTGCCTTGAGAGGGGGCTTCGTGGGCTGGTCAGGCCTCTTCAAGTGGCGTTGCTGAGAAGGAGGGGATGCAGAGGGTCGGGGCATCATATGGGGGCACTGCTGAATCTGGCCAGCTGATGGGGGGGGGATCCTGAGCAGACGCTTCTCTCTGGCCTGAGCGGGCAGGAGGCTGGACCTGAGAGGTCAAACCTGGGCATGGCAGAGATCCCAGTTGTGCCTGCTGGGCTTTGTAGTGGCATTGCTTCTTCCGTGCATATTTGACTTCTAGTCCCACACCAGGCACTTTATGATTTCTTGTCAAGAAAAGAGCCTCTCCTGAGAGGGGCAGCCCTGCTGCCGCTTCCTCTGACTCTTGATAAGGGCCAAGGCGAAAGGTTGCGCAACGGTCCCTGTTAGTGACGCAGCACTCGAGCACAAACCTTCCGGTGTTGAGAAAAGGCTGGGGGGGGGGAGATCCAGGAAGGCCCTCCCCCCTGCGTTTTAATATTTAGGCCAACGTGACTATAGCTTCCTTTTATTCTTCTCAGAAACCAGGTGAGAAGTTTCCGTGCTCACCTGGACTTTGCATGGTTTGGGATCAGCTTTTTCTGCAAATTCATGCCGCAAATTAAATCTGTTCACTGCGAGGAATGGTGTTGATCTCCCCTACGCCAAAAGGAAACGCTCTGGTAGTTGGGGGGGGTCCAGGATGGGGGGTGTGAGAGAAGCCCCCACCCACCTTCTTCCGTCTAAGGCTGTTGAGCTGGCAGAAGAGGCCCCAAAGTGAAGAAAATGCGCTGCGATGGGAATTGTGCAGCAGCCCCCCACCCCCCACCCCCGGTTGTAACTCTGGCTGTCTTGGGCTTGGTAGCCTTTGGAGGGCCCTGGTGACTGCTAACATCTGGTGGGCTCTTGCTTGGAAGAAAGGACCCGTGTGGGTGTGTATTGATGAGTTTCGATTCTGCTTCGTCCATCGGACCTTCTTTCTCCATCCTCCCACTGGCCCCTATTAATTCTCTCAGAATCAGCTCCCTCTCCTTTCACCGGGTTCTTTCTCGTCTCCCATTCCCCCCCCCATCTGCTCACCCCAGACAGTCTGGGGATCCCCCGTCCATCAGAGGCCAGGGCAGAGACTGTCCAGGACTGAGGGGTTTGCTGTCCAGGCTCCAAAGGAGGAGTCAGGCCTTCTGCTCTTCCATACCTTTAATCATTCCTGGTTTGACATTTTGCTTTTAATGTTCCCCAAGATGGGCAATTAATTTAAGGCTGTCAGTTGCACCAGACTCCCCTTTCTTGCATGGTCAAGTGACATTAAATGGATTTGTGCATTGCGCTGATCTAATATTTCTTTATCGCTGGTTCTCCCGAACTGGGTTCATCCAGTAACCAAGGTAGAAAAGTGGTAATTAGCATGACTGTGCCCTGTGGTTTCCCCCCTCCCCGCTTACACACATACACACACACACACACACACACACACACACACACACACGTTCCATCACCAAGGGATGCAATTGGGAAGGAGGAGCAGCAGAGGGCATTTTCCCACCAGGAAGGCTGTTCCTGTTCCTGCTCAGGTGTATGTACTGTATGTATGTATGTCTGTACTCATCTTAAGTACATAACTCTGGGCAGTGATCAGATGTGCAAACTGATATGCAACCAGAACCTACCTACATACATACATATCAAACTAATTTGGGGGAGATTATGCACAAGGACAGTCCCAACTGGGCTTTGGTGCTCGGAAAAGAGCGAGTTCAGATTTGCAAGCTTCCCGGGGGACCTTCGTGGTGCCCTAAAGGGGGGAGCTCTTGGGCGTCTCTTGGCCAGAGCCAGCATTCAGATCCTAAGCAAAGGGATAATAACTTTGCAATGGAGATGTGCCCAGCCTGCCCCCAGGAAGGTGGGGGCAATCAGGGGCTGCACATGATGCACGCGGCTACTCTGAAGAGAAAACGGGAAGGTCAGAGGATTTCGTAGAGAAGAGAAGGAGCAATGATTGCTCCGAGAGAAGAGTGTGAGATCATTAACACGGCCAGGGTTCCCCTGGAGCAGAAGAAAGGCCTCTGGTCCATCGTGCAACGGCCGGAGAGAAGAGGCCTCAAGACCTGCCTGCATTCGAAGCTGCCTCCTGCAGCCCATCCGGGAACTTGTGGGCAGAGAAGAGTTTGCAAGGACACAAAAGAGCCGGTCCAGCCAGGCAGCGAAGGGGCCTCTCTCCCCCTTGAACGGTTGTGGGGTTTGGTGCTTGTCACACAACCCCCCCCCGGCCCCCCCGCATCCCACTTGTTCGTCATCCTGTTCCCACAAGGCTTCAGTCTGGCGAGGAAGGAACGATTGGAGCTGATGGGAGGAGAGGTGAGCAGGCAGCCCTGCGCCACAGAGCGCGTGGCTGAATCACCGCGAGCTTCCTCTGGCCTAATCCTCTGCAGTGCACAGGCAGCCCAGTTACCGTCTTCTTTTGCTCCGTTGCAGGCCTGCTGGCTGGGGAATTCTGGGGGTTGAAGTCCACACCTCTTAAGGCAGCCCAGGCTGAGCAACCCGGCAGTTTTGTTCTGGATTGCTTTCCTGAGGACTCTGCCCTTCTCTTGTCCCCTCTGTGAGCTCTCAGCCGCTCGGCCACGGTTGCTTTCCCAGGAGTCCCATCCCGGCCCCACAGCGTCCGTGGGACTGACCATTTCTGGCCCAGCGGGCTGAATGAGCCTCCTTTGCCAGGAGCTGCTTCCTCAGTCCGGGGGGGTGGGGGTGGGGGGGGGCAGTTTACCTTTGCTGCTCTGAGGTTTTTCTTTCCCTGGTTTCTGCTCGCCTCGGGCATTGGGGGGCATTCACGCTGTGCCATGTAGCACCCCCAACACCCACCTACGTCTTCCCATTTACGGATGACGGGTCTTGTGTAAGAGTGGATGATGCCCACCAGTCCTGGTGCCAACCGGAGAGGAGCCAGAGAGCCCCTAGCTGCCTTCCGAGAAGGTGGATTTCTTGGCCGGGAAAGGAATGCTGACGAGGAGCAAAGAAGAGCCCTTAACACGGGAGGAGGCCAGGAGAGCCGAGAAGGTCCCTGAGGACCCCCCCACCCCCAGGGCAGAATCTCTCAGAAGCAGGCCAGGGTGGAGGGTGGGTGAGGGGTCAAGACATGCCAGGCTGTGGACTGGCTTTGTTCCCAGTCATCTTTTGGCTCTCTGGAGCTCTGGAGGTGGCTTCCGAATGAGGGTGGCCGATGCAGTCAAGATGATAGCCAGAGCCCCTCCCAGGACTTCCAATCCTCTGATGCAGCAATGGGTGGCCCCTCTGGAAGAGCCCAGGGCCACAGGAGAAGCTGCGATGGGGAGTCCAGTGGGCTGAACCCAGGCAGGGGAGGGGCCCTTGGAAGGCAGAGTCCACCTCTGATTCTCCTCCAGCCGAGGAGACACAAATCCCCTGCTAGGGCCGGAAGAATCTGGGTGGGAAAGCAGATCTTCCCCTCCCCCGATTGTGCAATAGCAGTCGGCCCCAGCCCCCTCCTCAGAGCATGGAGAGCAAGTGCCGGAGAGTCCGGCCAGAGGGGGCGCTGCTCTGCCAGCTCCCGCCTCCTGCTGCTCTGCCAGCCCACCGGCCCCCTTCTTTCCGGAGGAGCTGCCTTGGCTCGGCTCGGCAGTTCTTGCCATGCAACAGCTAATAAGACGGAGGGATTAATTTGTTCCCGGGCGGGTGGGCAGGTGGGGGAGGGGGGAGCTGCTCTGGGCAGCAAGCGAGGTCGCCTCCTCCTCCTCCTGAAGTCCAGCACCGAAGAGAGCATGAAGTTGAGAGCTGCTGGGGAGCATCCTGGGGCTCGGGCGGACGGCTGAGGCTGTTCCTTTGAAGGACCCTGGAGAGAGAGAGAGAGAGAGAGATTGGGGCGGGGGAGCAGCTGTGCCCTCCCAGAAATGTGGCCGTTGTGGCTGTCTGGGAGCACGAAGGAGTCCAGCACCAAACGGGGCATCGTCTCTGCTGCCGGCAAAGGAGTTTCCTCTTTCTCTTTGATTGCCTGAATTTCCTTTAGGGTTTTCGTGCGTCCGCCGTGGAGGTGAGTCCGGGCAGGGAAGGGGACAGACCTCCGGCAGGGGAGAGTTCTGGAGGAGCCGCACGGAGGTCTCCGGGCTGGGGAGACAGTCTTT